GAGAGCCGTGAAGAGAAGTCACGGGGTCAGTTAACACGGTCTTGGCTGTAAAGTTTCTCTCTGGTTTGAGGCTGAATTCGCACGTGTTGAGGTGGGAGAGCTGAATCCTAGCATGAGGCTTTAGCACGCTTCTCATCTCTCCCTGAAGAACCAAGACCAGGAGAAAAGCTGTCCAAATCCCCCTCCTCTCCCTCTCCCCAGTCAGTTGTATCTGTCTCCAAAGCGGTGGGGCACACAAATGGACTTGCAGTGCAGCCCGTGCTTGATAGGTCATTACTGCTTTAAGTAAGATATTAACAGCTTTGACTGCAGCATTAGAGCAATTTAAATTGTTTAAAAAATTTTAAAAGTTCCCTGCGGACATGTACTTACCATCAGTTTTGATGTGGAAACACTGTGATATATAAATGTTGTTGGACAACAGTAGTTTAAAAATGAGTGGAATATAGAGGGTTAAAAAAGTTAAAAAGAAAAAAATGGGAAAAAAAGCTAGCTATATCCTTATACTTATTGGAGACACTTTAACTTTTTCCTTTGTATTTTCATTGTATTAGATAAATGTGAATGTAAAATTGTATAAATTAATGTACTTGAATACTTGTCTGTTCTCCCAGTATGCTTGCTGGATATTTTAGTGCCTTGGACTTCTATTGCTTCTGCAGTTAGCATCGTCTTCCCAGCAGACCCCCGGGTGGGCGGAGGGCAAGTTCAGAGAGGGCGGATGCGCGGCCCTGGTGACCAGGACACTGGTGTTGGGTAGCGAGGCCGTTGCTGTTGGGGGCAGGTGTTGGGAGGGGGGAGCCACTGAGGCGGCGCTGGGAGAGCGTCCTGTGTGTGGGGAACTTGTCCAGGTGGGCGGATCTGAAGTTGCTGGTGTGGCGGGGGCCAGGTGCGGAGGGACGGAGGGTTGGGGGTGAGGCTAAAATGAGACTAACAGGTATCGACTGCGGAGGCAGGAGGTCTGGAGCGGACACGGAGAGGTGACGGGGAGAACATGTGTCTGTGGGAAAGGCCCAACGTAAGGTGCAGTTTGATTCCACCTGCAAAGTGGTAAAGGTGTTTGGTCAGGATGTGACTGGAGGGAGAGGTGCCATTGCTCATTGGTGTGGGTTTGTCTGCTGGGATTGCTTTTCCTACCCTTCTTTTTTTTTTTTTTTTTTGGCTAAAATCCAGTTAAACCAGGAATAGACTGTCCTGGTGCAACATCCATTGCCGGCAATGGATGTACTTGAAACAGCCGGCATCGAGAAGTTTCCTCTCTCTTACTTGGAGGACTGACCGTTTTGTTCACTCTAACAAACTTCAAGCTGGTACCAGAACTGTAACTATCTGTCACCTCTTAGTAACTGTACTGTACCTTCTGCTTTGGTCATTCTCCCTTTTCATACTTTCAAAAGAAACAAACAAAAAAAATACTGGTTTCCTCTTCAAAGTGAAAATAATACCAGCCAGTATTTATGTAGTGGTGCAAAAAGCTGTGAGGGATGGGAGCGCTGCTTCCTGGTGCTTGGGAGGAGCTCACTGGGATGCTGGAAGCTGGGGCCTCACGGAGGTGTTCTTGCCTGAATTGTTTTTTTCTAGGAGCGTTGTTCCCCCCGGAGCCTTAATAGGGAGTTTTTCTGTCTGTGGATGTTCTCACACTTTAATTTTTACAAAGAATTGTGCAAAATCTGTTCCTTCCCTGTCACTTTTTTACAGCAATTTTGGCAGTAAGGGCAGGTGCAGGCCAGAGCTGAGCACCTGAGAGCCAAAACAGGCTCCAAGTTCCTTAGATTCGGGGGTTTATTCTTTGTAACTGAAGTGCAGAGGAGTGCTGCCGGAGGAGAGGGGCAGCTCACGGTGTGGGGGCAGCAGGGAGGGGGGGGGGGTGGGGG